CAACAACAAAAAACCTTCGAGATAAATACAATTTTGTATTATCTTCTTATTTTGAGATTATGATAAGACATGAAATCAGGTAAGATAAGATGACATGAGATGAGATAAAGTTATGTGAGATGACATGACATGAGATGGGGTGAGAGTAGATTAGATGATATGACATGAGATCACAAAACATGAGCTACAGTAACATGATATTACCTGACATAATGTGACATAAGATTGGATCAGATCTTGTCCTAAAGAAGCTCTTGAGAATGCAGCAGTTGAGAATGATTTGTATTGCCAGTGTGTTCATCATCCTCAATGCAACTATATTCACTTCAAGGTCTCTTCTTCTCAAGCTGTTGATCTGTCCCCGCATCGCAGAGCTGCTGCTGCTGGACCCAGAGGCAGCTCTAGATATTCCTGCTGGTTCTTTGTTAGACTGCTTTCCATTAAGCCCTCTCCTGATCCCTTGTCACTCTGCTGTTATTCAAGTCCACTCAGTCCAGCTGTAAAGCATGTATATCTTTGCACTTGTCAGTGTATTAGATTTCAACTTCCATGGTTGCACTGTGTCCGCAAAAATATGAATGCGAAACAAATCTTGCTTGGAACTTCTTGTTACTCTGGGTTTTTTTTCTTCCAGTCTTGCTTTGACAAGGCAATGCTTACACTGAACTTCTTCATTTTTTAGGAAAATCTTTCAAAAAGGATTCAACTTACACTTCTACGTATAGAAATATACCTATATGGCAACATAGCAAGAATAAGAAAATCACTCACAGAAATAATTTTTTCCAAACCAATAAAAGATGCACCCTGTACTCTACATATTTTTTTGCTTTCATGATTGTATGTAGTTTCCTAAAGGATTGTTGAGATCCTTGAGATTTAATATAGTGTAGTAGTATAGGTGCAAGTGTGAGGAGATAAAAGAAAGCAGTGAGTGGTATATTACTCAGTCAGTGAGTAATATACCAGAGGAAGTCAAAGATGTGGGTTTCCAACCCTGTCATGGAAGGTTTCTCAGTTTCATATTTCCAGGAGTATTATAAAATGTTCCTCATCATGTCTTAATTAAAGTTTAAACTCAGAAAAGTCACATCTAGGATAAGCAAACAAGTGCAAGAGAAAGACTGGCTATAACAGCTGTTTTTTTTATATAGCATGGATGATATATAAAGTAGTTTGATCTCTGTAAAATACATGATGATTACTGTATATTGGATACAGTAATAATGTTCCAAACCCAACAAATTGTGTCTTTAGCCCTTTTTTTTATCCATTTGAGCATGCAATCCAAATTGTTTGATAATTTGGTTTATGATTCAACTTAAACTCAGTGATACAAGAGTCATATTTGATTCTAGATTGAATTCCAGGTACTCATTTTAGGTGCAAAAGTCCAAAGGATGTGTTGTTTTCATTTCTAAAGAAGGCTTGACAACTGGCATCCTGCATTGGCTCATTGGCTCTCTCATTCTACGATACTGATATTACTTAGGGTCAGAATACAGCAGTCAGACTTTTCACTTAAAATTGAGAAAACATCCTATAACCTACAAGTCAGTAAGTCTACATTGATTCATTTTAATTCAGATTTTTAGGAGCCTAATGGGACATTTGTGGCACAGAAAAAGGACATAACCAACATAAGGAACAATATTGGCATCATTTAAAAAAAGTACTTTTCTGTATACATTTATGGTTGAATACTTACTTAATTAATTAATTAGTTAACACAGTATTAAAGGACCAGTGTGTAGGATTAAGTGGCATCTGGCGGTGAAGTTGCAAATTGCAGTTCTCATGCTTCACCCTCCCCCTTCAAGCATGAAGGAATAACTACGGGGGCCGCGAAATGCATGAAAAACATAAGCTGCCGTATCTAGAGCCATGTGTTTGGTTTTTCAGTTCTGGGCTACTGTAGAAACATCAAGCAAACAACAAGAGAGATTATGAAAACATAGTTATGCAAAATAGATATTCCATTTCTGCCAACAGATCATCTTAAATTGTACACACTGGACCTTCAAATCCTATTTTATCTCTAAATGTAGTCATTATGAATTCATTCAAGGCAATTCACAATTGCCTACATGGTCCAATTATAGTCCATATATGACGTCTCTGGGACTATATAACTGTATATAATTATGTAGTTCCGGTTACTGGTTCCTAGATGTCACCTGGAGGTGTTAAAGATTTTCTTTAAAATATTTCAATGTCATGTTTATTGGGATGTATAAAGGACCCGGCATATGCCTGGTTTTATACCTGTGGAAAATTCTTTGTGTACGTACTTTTTAAGTTTTGTCAGTACACCTTCTTTCAGTATGAAAAC